GTGGCCTATGTTGATTAGTGGGTTCGTAATCGCGTTGTGGTTTGTCCTATTCTCACGATTGTAGAGTCAACCTGGGAGGTGTTCCGGTGAACCGTTAGATTCACTTGGATTGAAGGTGATCAGACACTCGATCTTTGAATCTCGGAACTACTAAAGTCTGTTGGTGGAAACCACATTCAGTTGAACCGCATTAAATGTATTTTTGCAGCTTTTGCTGTAGTCGACCAATGTGCCTCAGCCGCGCTATTTCCTTTGAATGGATGAGTCAGATAAAGCTGTTTCTTTTCAACAGTTTGTTTTGAAACTTTTGGTAGGCATCACCTCATATGTGTCTCCACAAATCGCCCTGGAAATCCAGTTTCGAGATGCGTTTCTTTGATTCGTACGAGTTCGGCTTTCATGGTGAAGTGGCAAAGGCGCATCCTGCAGCAGTTGTTTTTGCTTAATAAGATTGCTTTATCCCTTATTTTACTGTACACTTACGGTACATTTGACTGAGTAACTGCACGCATTATTTGACTGAGTGTTAAGCACCGCAATTTTGCTCAACTCAGAGGAAAAAAACATTACGCGAATTAGTCTTTGCCGGAGATTCATGAACCAACAGAAAACCACTCAAATCCAGAACATTTTCTGAGTGAAACCAAAGAAACAAATCAAAAGGAATTTGGTGGGATGAATTATGAGCCACAGTAGGTCCTCCAGTAAGCTTAACTTAGGAATACCTACTGTGGATTCAGCAACGCTTCGGAAACTACCGCATCATTTCGTATACAATTAAATTCAACGGGGCGTATTCAATCTAGGATCTTCTGGTTCTATTCCATGTTGGATCAACTTACCTGCACGTTGCTCTGCATGTTTCTATGCCGAATTGGTGGGTATTATCCTAGCCTTATTTTTGCGCTCCGAATGGATTGAAATGTCAGTTAATAAATGATGAATGTGCAAATAATAACCTACCTCCATGGTGGTTAGCTCACACTTAACACACGGTGGCACACGACCAAATTGATTGTGGCCGTGCGGGTGTAACCTCTCCAGGGACTACATAGCATGGAAGCAGACACCTAGAATGGCCATATAACTTCACTTGGGCTGACTTACTATACTTCTCTCAATATAGTAATACTGTTGAGGATGCTGTTCCCTATTCTTCGTTAGCAATAATTTTAGTGTCTCCAAAATCTTCTGAATTTATTCATATGGCAACTTACTTGACTTCAATTGCATTGCCTTTCTTTCGTCTATTTATCTATATGAAAATCGATTGGCTATCCGATCACATTCATAACCACGGGACGGCAGCTTGCAGAATACCGTAATTTGCTGATCATTTATCGATAAGTGTGTTTAGCATTGCAAGGAATGCACGTATATGTTATAATAACTTGCTTGTTCCCAAATCAACATTAACTCCTTTTTTCGTATTTACCAAATTTCTCTTGCAAATTATGTAACTCATCCAACGTCTCCCATGTATCAGTGGCTCACGCTGCTGGCTAGTCGGCGTCTGCCCTCAGTGGTCATGAGTTAGATCCCTAGTTGGGGATTGAGGGAATGTACACAACTGACGAGCCCCAATATGCCGAAAAGTGTTTTGAGCTTTCCAAAATAGACTGCGTTATGTAGCTTTTGGAATGCCGGAATAAATACCAAAAAATGGAACTAATATCCTGCTACTCAAACGTAATATGAAACACAAATAGCCTCACATAGTTTAAAATGCTATGGACAATGTGTAGAGGGATGTCGTTATCACTTCTCCGAATAGCCAACGTCAGTGACCGTGGAACATAGTTGTTGCCATATCTCAGTTCGTTTGCAAATCATGTAGCTTAGCCAAAGGTCTCCAAAGCTCAGTAGCTCAGGCTAACATTTAGTTGAAATCCGCCTCTAACGGTCCTGGGATCGATCCCCTGAAAAGTGCGAGGGAATGCGCAACAGAGACGAGCCATAATGGAGTGAAACACATCTGGTGCTTTCTCTACCAGGCTGTGTTATGTAGTTTATGAAATACGGAGGTGAATACCTTAACAAATTACACCTTCATCCCGCTACTCATTGGTTTTATAATTAATATTTCTATAGCAAAGCCACGCAAGCCCTAACTTTCCACATGCAACTGAAAGTTGCAAGAAAAACCACTGAGCGTACCTAGCAATGTAAGCGTTTCGTAGAGCAAAACGCACTTTCCTTGACCAGGTCCCAAAGATATATACATCTAGTTTTGTCTGGGTACTACACTCTCATGAACTCCATTCTATTTTCATAATGGCTTACTTGATACAAGAGGCTGAAACTTCGAAAATGAAGATGGAGCCACAGCGGAGTATTATTTATGGCCCTTTCCATACTTTTTAAAGCTGACGAAAACTGCATCAGTTAAAAAAACAATTGCTACCTAAAATAATTTGACCTGAATCAAACCGAACTGTCCAATTATTTCCAATTATGTATTACCCTCCGATTTTGATAGATGGCTCGTATTATGTATCCCTTTCCTATTCCGTTCTCGTCCACGAAACCGCAGCCTTCATCATAGCCCCGATATTATCCGGAACCACACAATCGCGAACGCATTAGTGCCGGTCGAAAACGATAGCGAAAACCCAAACTGAAGGCCATCCAACAGCGCCACTTATGTATAATCGGGTGTATAGCAACCTTTTCCACATGTAATTGCGATCATTCACTTTACGTACAAGGATTCTTGGCACCAAGGAAAATATATACATATAATTATTATAAATCAAAGCCCACATGGCTTTAGTTCCGTCAAGCTTGAACAAAGGCTCCAGAATAATAATGGTCAACAACCATTTGTTTCCCCTTAGCTTTGGAGACCTAAATTTATCGTCACTTGAGTCATGATTGAATACACGATCAGAGATGACTTTTCCCGTAAGCTTATCTACAACGTTATCAAGAAATAACACCAGTTACGTTGACCTTACACCACAGCAATTCGAATCACGGTTCTTAATTATATTCCCTTCGACAGTCTTAGTCCTCTCCAAATACATTGGTGTCTGTCTCGAAATTCTTGTCATGTAAAAACCAGTTGTTCCTACGTTCCATGAATTTCCTTGAACCCATCGCGGAGAATGTTAAGGGAAGAAGTCGGTTTGAACCTAATGCGGTGGACCTCAGTCTCCTAGGCTCAACATTTAAAATAAAGCGTCATCCAACTCATTGTTTTTCAGTTTACAACAAAATGTCCCATAGTTTGCATTTACCTGTTACAATAGAACTGAAACATAGATAAACTGAGTGGAAAAATGTTAAAGACATAGATACAATTGCTTCGCACAACAATAACATAATTAGTATTGGCATATATGTGACCCCGTTGTTAAGTTTCAGCTTAGTGAACAATTAAATGTTTGTTGGGACTATATCTGTTCGGTAAGCATGGCGTGACCGCGATTTTAATTATGCGTATGAGTGAAGTTTGGGTATTCCCTTCCCGAAAGCATGCTTCAGATAAAGTCTTAGTAATCGCAATGACCAAGTATAACTTCAAAGTGAACAGCAATCTGCATTGACATTGCGCGTCGCCATCCCCTCACATAACCAGTAATTCAAAATATTTCCTTATTCACACATATAGATATTTCATGATATGGACACTTCTGGAGGATAAAAAGTGTGTTATTATACAAATTGGAACATTTCCTTATGAGTTTCCTCTTCGATTTTGTTCGTTGATTGCTAAGTTTGGCGTAGTTCTGATGCGTAATCCTTGCGTGCGAACCCTTACCCTATATGCAACGCAACAGTCATTGTAGTAAAAATCCTATAAGATAAATGAAAACTCAATGCTTTCAAACGAACATGTTTTCAACGATTATTTTTCAGGCTTTTATAATTATTTGCAAAAATGAGTGAAATCTAGGTACAGCACAAGGATCGGTAAAGCACGCAATTTACAGTCATTGTCAATCATTGTCCCTAGGACACCGTTGTGGCAAGTACACAATTGCATGGTTTAGACGGAGTAGTTTGTCCGGGCCAAGTCAAGCACAGCATGTGAGTTAATCTTTTCTGGACGCACAATTACGTCTCGTATAATCTGATCGTTAAACTCTCAGCTGATTTAAGTAAGCACTTTACAACCCACTTTGATCGATTTTCGGGCTGTCGATAGATGACGTTAATGCCGCGGCTAGGTAATGGGAATGGCCCGTTTCGGCAAGATGCGTGCCGATGGATTAGTTGATTAGCTTTCGGCATCCGGTCGCAAGAAAGGCCAGATGGTGTTCTATCACCCTGTCAGACAGTCGCCTCTTCGTACGGCCAGTATAACCTGAACCACAGGAACAGGTGAATTAGTAACCAAACAAGAAATAGCGTTCACAGGCCTTTTGTCTTTTGGGTTAGTTTTCACCATCGGGCTACTGATGAAATGAATCTGTAGTTTGGATTTTGGGACGGTGGGCCTGAGAGCGCGAGAAATTGGACGAGTACTCGACTTGTCCATTAGGTCCATACGCACTCCCTTGATGTCGAGCATCTCGGGGTACTGAGATCTCCAAGCTTGGACAGCCTCCGCTCGGTTACCCACCTCGGTGTTTCCTACTCTAATAGGTAGACTAGCTACCCGCTTGTCCACTAGGACGGCGTCATCCGTAGCTAGGCTTCTAATCCACTCGTCCGGAGATGTGAGTAGCCTGCGAAACTTCTCTCGTTGCGCCAAGGGTATGGTAATCCCCATCTGCGGCACACCCATACCTCCATCCGTTGAGCTCACATAAAGGAAGGCCATCGAGGTGTCCTTCAGTAGTCTAAGCCATCGCCGGATTGCTTCTCGAACCATCCCATCCACTGCCTTTATGGTGTTGCGGTGCGCGTTACCTAGTACCATCTCATACTCAATTTTCTTCAAGGCGAAATCACACAGAATCCGAATTCGTGGCTGAGGCTTCAGTGGCGCCTTACTTATTTCAGCTATCATAGCCTCCAGCTTAGTAGTAGTCTTAGGAGGTTTCCGTCCCTATTCAGGTAAATGGCAAACCGAGGTAGCGGACCTCCTCGCTGGGCATCATTGGCGGTATTACTTCACCACCGATCTTGTAGGAGTGAAGCTCCAGTACAACTAGCTTCCTCTTCCCTAGCTTCCTGATCGTCAAAGACCGACACTTGGCGATGTTCAATGCCATACCGGACTCTCTTAGTCCTTTAGTTAAGCCTTTCAGCTTAGCTTGGAGTTCTGAGGGAGAGTTAGCTACTAGCACCAGGTCATCCGCATAGGCCAGCGCTCCGTTCGGATCGCCAGCCACAGCAAATTCCCCGAGCCCCTGTCCCGAAGTCGCAAGGACCTCGTCCATAGTCATAATGAAAAGCAGAGGAGACAGGGGATCACCTTGCTTCACTCCCCTACCACACGCAAGACGCTCACCTTCCAACAGTACTTCCGATTGTGTGTACAGTTAGTCCAGATATCGCAGTAGAGGCCCAGGGGCACCTTGGCTCTGCGCCGCCCGAAGCACCGAGTCAAACGAAACAGTATCAAACGCTTTGGCTACGTCCAAGAACGCAACCGCTGCATCCGAACTGCGCATCTGCGCCCGACGCAACAAATAGTGCAAGGCGTAGGTAGCCTCTAGACACCCATCCCACTTCTGGAATGCTACTTGAAGCGATATTAGCTTCATACTTGGTCTCCACCGACGCGCCAAGATCTTATGGAACGTCCTTAGTAGCACTGAAGCCATCACATAACCTGTAATTCAAAATATTTCCTTATTCACACATATAGATATTTCATGATATGGACAATTCTGGAGGATAAAAAGTGTGTTATTATACAAATTGGAACATTTCCTTATGAGTTTCCTCTTCGATTTTGTTCGTTGATTGCTAAGTTTGGCGTAGTTCTGATGCGTAATCCTTGCGTGCGAACCCTTACCCTATATGCAACGCAACAGTCATTGTAGTAAAAATCCTATAAGATAAATGAAAACTCAATGCTTTCAAACGAACATGTTTTCAACGATTATTTTTCAGGCTTTTATAATTATTTGCAAAAATGAGTGAAATCTAGGTACAGCACAAGGATCGGTAAAGCACGCAATTTACAGTCATTGTCAATCATTGTCCCTAGGACACCGTTGTGGCAAGTACACAATTGCATGGTTTGGACGGAGTAGTTTGTCTGGGCCAAATCAAGCACAGCGTGTGAGTTAATCTTTTCTGGACGCACAATTCCGACTCGTGTAGTCTGATCGTTAAACTCTCAGCCGATTCAAGTAAGCGCTTTACAACACACTTTGATCAATTTTCTGGTTGTCGATAGATGAGGTTAATGTCTCAGCTAGGTTAGGGAAATGGCCCCGTTCGGCAAGATGCGTGCCGATGTTTTAGTTGGTTAGCTTTCGACATGCAGTCGCAAGACCGGATGGTGTTCTCTTAACCTGTCGGACAGTCGCCTCTTCGTACGGCCGGCATACCCTGAAGCACAGGAAAAGGTGAATGAGTAACCACACATGGAATTGGCGTGGACAGTGTTTTTTCTTTTGGGTTAGTTTTCACCATCGGACTACTGTGAAATGAATCTGCATTTTGGATATCTGGAAGGGGCGATGAGAGCGCGAGAAATACGACGAGTTAGAAGTTCAGCCACGATTTCCCCTTTGTACGGTAATTGTACCAAATGGGTTTCTTTCCCTCACATCCATTTTATAACATAAAGGATGCAAAATTACTATACCGAAACACTTCATGGTAATAAGTGCTGCACAAGGTGCAGATCCTTGGCAAACAAAGGCAAACAAAAACGACGCTGTATTAAGTACAGCCAGATAAAACACTTGAAAACAACTTAACAAAACACTTGAAAAACACTTGAACATTTGTGAGCACATACATAGGATATCGTAGAATTGGTATTTTAATCAAAATTTAACTTCAGGTTTGATGAAATCCTTGATTAACTTACAACAGATAAGTTTATTAGTATATCAGCGGCAAATCGGCTTAGCAGATCCACTCGTTTAGAACTATTGAAGCGATGCCAATGGTCGATCTGCGTGAAATAGGTGTGACCACCCAAGCAGACACAAATTATATCAGATCGGCCTTTGCTATGGAGGTCAATTCGTGGAACACTCTACCTTAAGTGACATCAGAATCATCGCAATGATAATCGTAACCCATTTAAGTGATCAAATTATCGATGACTAATATATATATATATCGCCTAAATTTACCATCAAGCAAAGTTGAAAGCGGTTCTTTATCCACTGGAATCGAACTGGTAACAAAATCGCACGTGCCGATGGATGCGAGTAAACCACTTTGTCTTTCCAGCAAAATTAATAATTCCTCTTGTTTGTTTAAGCTTATTGATAAGTGCAGCATAACAACATTTTTGTGCGAAATGATTGATGATCATTCACTCCTCTTTTCTATGGAGCTCAAAGATGGATAATTAATTGTTCTTTTTCGAGGCACATATTCATATACATCCGGCTTATTTTGACAGCCCCAGCGCACCGAAGTTGTGGCAAAGTGTCACACTATAATACGGAGTGCGTGAGGAACTCAATCTGTTGGTGCGTGACTAGTTGAAGTTTGTTTATTTGTTTATAGGAGGTCTGCTCTAAAGCTATCATGTTGTGATTTTTCAGAAACTGCATGAGCGTTTAAGCGATGACAGACTCCATATACTGGGAACACACTGTGAATAGCTTAATCGGACGGTATTGATTTTTTCAGTGAGACAACCTCCCCTCGCTTCCATATTGTTGGTTTACAGCGCTGAGAGAATATAGCCATAGGTACCGCCAGATCACTGCTATTTACTTGTAAAGCCTTCAGTCGAATGAAAAGACACCAATAAAGCTGTGGATATGCATGAATAGCAGTTTCTATAACACAGTTTCTGTGTTATTTCTAAACGTTATTTCTAAACGTTTGTCAAGTGGGCCACAGAATTTACCAGTAGCTTAATTTTATTAATCCAGTTTTATTTAATTTTACAACATTCTTGTGTCGGAATACATCGGAATACATCGGAATACAGTTAGGAGAGCACGCGTAATAACCATACCAAAATAGTTTATAAACTTATATGAGTATTTAAAGGGAATATTTCACTTCACTAGCTTGCTTTATCCAATGTCGTTTATGCTGCCTTCATCACTACGACCAAACTGCGATTGTGAATTCTACGTACTCAAAGATTTATGTGGTCTGGCGTGACAATATGAAGAATGCTTGCTCAAATTAAATTGATGAATTTTGTGGTGACTGAAAAATCCATTAATAGGAACGAAACATATTTGCTTCATAACCGCAGAATAAACTAGTTTTTGTTAAGCTGAAGAAATTTAATTACTAAGTTGTGCACAGAAAGTGAGTAAAAGTAAAATACACAATACCATAACTTGCGCCAAAATAGTTTGCTCAAGTTTATTACTGTGGAGCTAAGGTTACAATTTTCGAGTTTCGATCTGCAAATCAGCACTTCTTACAACGGGTGGAAAAATACCTGCACCAAAAGAATAATAACCAAAGGGTTTCAAAGGAAGTTTCGTTAATATTTCGATTTCGATATATATATCGATGTGACTACTTGAAGTAAATCGAATGCAAATGATAATATTCAGTTTTCAATGCAGAAAGATCAATTTGATTTGGCGGCTTAGAAAAACCAATACTTTAACAGCATTCACAATGCACTTAAATTCGCAATCTTAACATGCGTATTCAACTATTCAGGTCGTTTCAAATAATGAATTATTCCAGTTTCAGTAGTAAACGATGGTTCAGTTAACAAGAAGGTTATCGTTGATTCATCACTAATCGGAATGCAAAATAATTAAAGTGGCGATAAGAAAGGGTAAGTGAAGCTAAAATTAACCATAATGTGTGTGAACATTTTTACAAAGATTCTCATCGGACGACGTTGGCTATGCTATACCAACACACCGATGAACTCTTTTGCACACCAGCGGGACATTGTTGTGATCGATCATGATCGCTAAAGCCAGCCAAATAATTAGGTATTGAAAAAAACTTGGAATGGACACACCACACATGGTAGACCGAGCGATAGGTGTTTCGTGATAAAGTTGGGATCATTCGTTTGGACTAGGTGCACCACCGTTGCGCTTATGCAAGTGTTATCAATCCTCGACTTAGTTAAATTGGATGATACTCGTGCGAGGGTTTCGACAATCATCTGTTGGGTGAATTATGTAACCTGCTCCAAAAGAACAGGTAAATTGTCACACACAGATGTATGTGACAACCACATACGGTTTATCGTTTAGCTGTAGGTAAAGTATGGGAATGCAAGTGAAGATAATGCGTGATTTAGCGGTCCCAAAGGTGTTAATCATTACCTCTCGTAATCGTGTGCTTAGATGTTCGGAAATGTTATCCCTATTGAAAGACAGCTATTATGTGTATATTTGTTCGTTTCCTACCGAGGGTGTTTTAGTTCTCACATAGTATGCTGGTATTTGCCTGTTAATTGTGGTTTAGTATACGTGTTCTTAAAGAAAACTTTTCTCATTATAGCCCGCAGGGCTCATATATTCTTCGAAGCATATTTTCATTGTTGTTCCAACAAGATACTGGACCAGGTTTGTTCTTGTCAAACGACACAACGTCAACAAAGTGAATTGTACATGTCGCAATTCTGGGAATTCTACGTGGAGGCTGGCCATCTAGTCTAAGTGGGGTTTGAAAATCTTGGAATGTCAGTCCTTAGCTTACTTGGAATGATGACAAACCGGAATGTCCTGGTGGGCCTGATCGGATTGCGGTAATAAATAAATTTAGTTGACTGAGCAGCTAGCTTTAAACGTTTAGTAATCGACCTTACTTTATTAAGCGGCATCCACACAAAAAGTCAACAAGCGGAACCTTCACCTTTTTAGACTCAAGTATATTGCGAACAAAGGAATCAATGTTCACCCACCAGGTTAAGGGCATTTGTTTGGCATAGACGTCAGACCAAGGGCAACAGAACATTGTATGCACACTGATGTAATAGTATTTTCAGTTCATCCGCCAATAATCCAATTAATTATCTGCGCGCATTAATTTTTCTGCTATGTATTTGATGGTCTCTTCAACGTCACATCGAATGCAAATAAATGCGTGTTGTCCACATTTTGAGTTCTAATGCTAACGACGAAATGCAAGATGTGACGCATAGTAGAAAGGTAAAAGCAGAGGGCGCTATACGAATTAAGTTGTTCCCAACAAAGAGCGGAGATATTTGGATTTACATCGGTAGATCTCCTAAAACACAATTGTCATTCACTCTGCGGCTACCTGTATCATGTACTATGGTATACATGACTGTATGTGTTAA